ACTCCAATACACATGACATAAACCCAAGTCATGGTTTCACCAATTAATGACCAGGTAGAGGAATGTACACCTCAGTGCACAGACAAAACAATTCAAGTTCTCCTCACTTAAATATTGTTCCCTCTTCAGCTTCCTGTGAAACCTAACATGAGGCAAAGTCCTTTTTCCAGATCCCACGCAAAATGTCCAAAATGACTAGCTCTTCATGTCCAACTACCTCAAAAGTGGCTGACAGGCCTCAGACTCCAGAGGGTTAAGAGAATCTGTCTAAACTGACCCAAGTATAAACTTTCCCTGTTTGATGACAGGCATGTTGCAACCTTAGGTGAGATACTTTAATTCACTGTGGCCATAGGGAGTTCTTCAAAGCACTTATGATGCAGAAAGTCATGAACGAAGGTTAATTAAAAAACATACATTTCAGAAGCAAAGCAAACAAGCCAAAACACTCTTTCTTCCTCTTAATCTGAACAGACCCTTACCCAACCACTCAACGAACTGCTTGGCCACCGATGTGATGCTCTTTATCTCCAGGATGTAGGGGTACAGGTCGTACACGATGCCTCTGTTGGCCGAGTTGCACACTCTGGTGAACATCTTGTTGACGGCCTCGTACATCTCCACAAACTTCTCCGCGCGGGACCGCCATTCCGCAGCCTGTGAGAGACAACCACAGAAGCTGGGAAACATTCAGTCCACAGCACGGCTGCTAACCCTACAGCGTACAGCTCTGCTTGACCTGCAGACTACTCTAATTCCATTTTTTGTCTTTTAGCTAAGCCAGGAGGCCATATAATGTAGGTGTACATCCCTAACTCAGGAATACTGACAGCCTATCAACTGCTGATAATAGTTTTTGTACCTTGAATGGCTATGAAGACGCAACCTTCCTCACACTGTCAAGAAGAATGACTTCAGTTTTAATGTTTAAAGGCGCCACCCAATGGTGGCAAACAGAAGTGCATATCCTCCATTTTGTTTCTTTTGCACATCTTTCAGATTCTCTAAGCCAATATCCATGCGTTGTTCTTGTTTAAAAACTTACACACACACACACACACACACACACACAAAGAGGAACTGAAAAAACTGAGAAAATGACAGGGACAGAGCATGCCTTTTTGAAACGTGGAACTCCATGAGAAGACCTCAGACATTTTCGCATCTAGATTGTAAATGTGAATAAAACTGACCCCAAAGTCATTTGATAAATGATAAATGGCAAAAACAATAGCAAAATGGAACAAGGTTACCAATCCACATACAACTTTTCAATGCCCCCCAGACAAATGAGCAAGAAACGCAACATTAGCATTCCTTTGGCTGAAGCAAGCAAGCAGTACGCTAACTAGCTCCCAGCTATCAGTAGCTAGGTAGCCATCATATTCCATGCATGCTAATGTAACGAACATGAAAGCATCTCTGCAAGTGAGATCCAAACCTCTGCTCACATTGCCAGCTAAATTCTAGCGGCAAACATTGTTACCAGTTGAACTAAAGGCAATCTGCCCCTAGTTCCATCAGCAACAACGCTTAGCTAACCATGTCTCAGGGAGTGATGTCACCGCTGAAACCGCTCTGCTACCTGCTACCCTACCGTATTTACGCAGGACTCACACAAGCTACTAATTTCAGCGCTGTTACTCTAACATATCAGCACTGAGCATCATCAGCGCTAACAGGTACCCGTCTGCGTCCTGTGACATCCCAGTGCTAAGCAGCGTCTCTCACCTTTTCCGTCTCCTTCCCCCCCTGGCTCAGCACGCCGGCGTTGGTTCTGACCCAGTGCAGCTCGTGGAGCATGCGGACAGCCCTGGGCCCGTGCTCGTAGGGCAGGTAGAACAGGTCGGCCATGAGCGTCAGGTCGTCCAGCGTGAGCGCCTCGGCTGTGTACAAGGGCCGGTCCTGGGGGCCCGGCACGTACGGCTCCCAGCCCGCCTGCTCGTCCGTCTGCATGGGCGTGACCGTGTCCTGCGGGGCCTCGGGGGCCCGGGGCTCGGCGGCGCCCTCTCTGTCTGTGTCCATGGGCTCCTCCGGAGCTGCAGAAACAGAAACAGTCACACCAGCCTCCCATTCAGCGTTATGTACTAGCTCAGCAGATGCCCCCATATAATGCAACTTACACCCCTTATATTTGACACATTATCCATTTATGCAACCTAATATCTGTTCATAATGCTGGAAATTTACATCACATTACATTATCGGCATTTAGCAGACGCTCTTATCCAGAGCGACTTTTTTACGGTTTTTACGTGTTATCCATTTGCACAGCTGAATATTTACGGAGGCAATTCTGGGTTTACTACCTTTCCCAAGGGTACTGCAACAGTGCAACCTTTCAGTTACAAGCCCTGCCCCTTACCACTATGCTACACTGCTGTCCCTTCAGTGAAGCAACTTAGTGAAGCAATTCAGTCATGTGCCTTTCTAGAGGATATAACATCAGTGTCCCACTGGAGAAATGAACCTGCAATGTTTTGGTTACAAGTGTAACACCTAACCACAATGACTCACAAGTTATGAATTTCATCCATTCATACAGCTAGACGCTCACTGAGGCAATCTGGATTTAACACCTCGCTCGAGGTGTTAAATGTCATGTGGTAGTGATGCGTGGGTTGACCCATAACCCGCGGGTCGGGAGGGTTCGAGTAAGCTTACTAGAAAATATCATGGGTTCGGGCGGGTCGGGTCAAAAAGTGACAAAGCAGCTTTCCGACTAAGTTATAAATAACTTACAGAAACATTGCGTGCAATAGGCTTTGCGTTATACTCTCCGAATTACGCGCTCCAGGCTAGGCTGTGATTACTAGTCGGCTACTATTTTGTTAAAGTTCCCCGTTAAGATGTGAAGGATGCATCTTTTGTGGGTGTGTGTGTGTGTGTGTGTGAGAGAGGGAGGGAGAGGGGGAGAGGGGGAGGGGGGAGAGGGAGGAAAAGAGAGAGACAGAGTTCATGTCTTTAATGAAGGGTTACTTGTTTTGCTGCTATTCAACAATAAAGAACACCGTTTGGAACAATTTGTCTGTTTATTTAGTAGCCTAGACCCAGATGCTATTAGGCTAAGATACAATAGGCTATGCCTTGCAATCAATGTATTATGCTAACGTTTGGGCAAACAGTCCAAAAACGAAATAGTGCAACACTGCTCACTTTGCTGTAGCCTATGGTGGCTCGTGCAAAACCTTGTTGTCTACACGAGTGTCTGTCCTTTTTGAAACGTGTACTAAATAAGAAAACGTTATCTCTTACTCTATGATATGGATGCCATCGCTATACAGGCTAAAGTTGGCAGTTTGCGGGTCGGGTTCGGGTGGTTGATTAATGCATATTTTTGCGGGTCAGGCGGTGCGGATTGACTATCATAATGGGTCGGGTGGGTGCGGGTATTAAAAAACCCTGACCCGCACATCACTATCATGTGGAATCCAAAATTTCACTAATGAATCTGGAAGCAATGGCTGCAGAGCTGGTGTTTCAGATAAATGATGTATATATCAACTGACTGAGACTGGACTCGGGCAGAGGGTTATGGGATCAAATTCCAGGTGGTACACTAATTAATTGTCATCTAAAGTAACTGCTCCACTTAAAAAACAATCCCTTGTTGTCTTATGAGAGCCAAGGGTTTGGTTGCTATCACCAAGCACACCAAGCATTACAGATCTGTGCTGACTCTCATGGCATAGCCAATTACACTCATTTCCCAGGGTGTTCAGTTTTCGAAACACTCTGACTCAGCCCAAAGAGGCTCAGAATGGTCTCAACCCTCACAGTAAGTCACATGCAGATGAGAAGTCCTGGTTTCTCTTCTTCATGTTCTCTTCTCTTCTAAGGCAAGGCAGCACAGTGGATTTTCCCCTGCTAAAATAAAATTAAATTCATTCTAAACAAATGAAGGCTGTGGGAGAAACGGCAACCCCGCGGCGTTCTCTTACTGGCGTACTGGTGCGGTGCCCCGAATTCCTCCAGCCACTCCGCCAGGGCGAGCTTCAGGGCCTGCCGTGGGCTGTACAGCTCGTCCATCTCCTGCTCCTCCTCGCTGTTGTCCTCCTCCCCCTTTCCCTGAGTTGACATGCCACTGTTGTCGCCCTCTGCTGGAGAAGCAGCAGCAGGTGTCATAGAGGGCGAGGCTTCATTTTTACCACTAAACTGTGAGGGCACTACATTTAGCCCCGTCTGCCTGTCATCATCAATGGGGTGCAGTAGCAGTGCTTCACCACTAGATGTCGAGGTTGAGGCAAAGGGGCAAGGGTCTGCAGTCTACGTGATTGTACACTGTCATCTAATTAGATAAGATCTACAAAACGTCTTGCATGTTGCAAGTTTACGTCAGAGAGTGACAATTCAATTTTGCAACACGCTGGCTTCAGAAAGACTCCAAAAAATGAGGAAATGGAGTCCACAGTTTGAAAGAGGCAGTCATCATCCCACAATCATCAAAATGCTCTAGATTATTTTGCTCACTGTAAATGGTTGGAAACATTTGCAATTACAGACATCATATAGTTGGTTATCATTTCCTTCTTCTGCATTCCGGCTCTTAAAGAGTTTGGACAATGAGCTTCCCCACAATTACTCAGCAATCTTCGCAAGAATTTCTACCAGGAAAGGAAAAACGGATGGAAGACACACACACACACACACACACATGCACAGAACAAAATATTCTCACTTACCCATGACGATATCTTTCCTCACACCATTCACATGTGATTTGCACCAGGTGGCCAGGGTGTGGATGGCCACGAAGTTGGGCTCGAATTCACAGTTTGGGTTGGTCAGAACACCCCTGAGCTTGGGGATGAGGTCCGTCGACCGGCCCTTGTATGGGCCAAGGAAGAGCCTCTTCTGGTCGTAGTCATTAGCATGTATGTTGTCCCAGATGACAGGGGCTCTCTTCAGCACCCTGGAGACCTCCTCAATGGACTCTACGGGAATGCTGTTAGACACAACCTTGGGACCTTAAAGAGGACACAGAATACAAGGAAGTGGGCTGCAGTGTGGTGTAGTGGTAAAGAGCAGGGCTCGTAACCAAAAGGTTGTTGGTTCGATTCCCTGCTGTTGTACCCTGGGCAAGGTACTTAACTCAGCTGCATAAATGGATAACGTAAAAATTGTAACCTATGTAAATCGCTCTGGAAAAGAGCATCTGCCAAATGATTGTACTGAAATGTAATGTAACCTTCAACTGCCTCAGTAAATATCCAGCTGCATAAATGGGTAAAATGGTAACCTACATAGAAGTCACTCTGGATATGAGCATCTGCTAAAAGATAATAATGTAATGTTAATGTAAGTGAGGAGCACACACCCTGCAATGATTCCCAACACTCTGTGCTGGTTACAGGTATTGCACCATGCTGCACAGAGAGGTGTTTAGCCATTTTGTTCCAAATGCCATCTACGACATTGCTGCAGTCTGGGATGAATCTACAGTACGCTACATCTTTAGTGCTTGTCATTCTTCTGCTTTGAGGTGACTTTACCTGTCCAAAGCACGTCAATCCCCGAGTGGAGTTTTTCTCCTACAGTCTGCAAATAAGGAGACTCTGAGACGCTGGGAGAACAAAACCTTCCGCAGTAGTCTAACATTCGAAAGACACAAGAAAGCAACAGAAAGGGTTTTTAAAAATGTGATTCAACCATGATCAGCAAACACTTTGTTAAAGGAGCAAAGAACACATACTGCCACTGTGCAAACATCCTTCTACCGTTTGCAGGTTTTGTGCTCAATTCACTATCCACAGTCACAAGTACAGGAGATCTTCAGAGATCTTAGCAGATCATCAATTCCCAATTTCAAGTCACGCAGCACTCCTTTTGTTATTGCATTTTACATGAATATATGCAAATACACATTTCATACATAAAAATATGAATCACCTGTGTTACTGTAATATTTTTCATACCCAAATTATGACTTTATAATAAATATTTCTTATATTTCTGTGTCAGAAATAAACACCTACTTTTTGAGGTAATACTTAGCATGGATACAGTACAGTACAGAGCAATATTCATGGATTTTCTCATTCACTGTATTATCTTGAGAGTATCAGGCCATGTCCACACGTACACGGGTATTTTCAAAACGGGGGTTTTCCTCCTTCGTTCTTAAAACAATCTCCATCCACACGAAAACGCAAACACACGCTGTCAAGAGCATGCCAAACCAACAGGCGACGATATAACCCTAACCGTAAAGCCATGTTGGCCAATCAGAAGCCTGAAAAAAGTTATTACGGCGCACACACTGACGTCACAAGCCAAAAACTCAGTTTTCCCTGTCTACACGTCAATACTGAAAACAGAGTTTCTGAAAATCTTCACCCTGGAAGGCGTTTTGCAAAAGATCCGTTTTCAGTGACCTAAAATGCCGTTTGCATGTGGACGAAAGGCCAAAACGCACAGAAAAAGCTATGTTTTTAAAAATACCCATGTACGTGTGGACAGGGCCTCAGTCAAAAACATCAAGTGTCACCCATATCACTGGGTTTGGATATGATGTTAAAAACTCATCTTATTTATTACCTGTGGGGCATATCATAAACGTCTCCGGCTCCCCCAGGTGCTGGAAGATTTCATTGGTGAGGGAGACCTGGGCGTCGGCAGAGGAGCTGAACACCTTCCTGTCCGCAGGGCACATGTCGGCATCGATGTCGTCAAACAACAGGGCGAAGGACCTGCACCCAAAGCGAGAGACCTGAGAGGGAGAGAGAGAAACGATTATTACATCACAATGCGTTTTCTCAGCGAGAGACTGTTGGTTTAAAAAGACAGAAAAGGGAAAAAAAGATTGCTATATTACAATGTGGTCTAAGAAGGTATGGCTCAAAATTAGATTAAGCCCTGAATCACTACCTGGGGTGAAAATATAGAAGTGTAAAACAGAACTCTTTCACTCTCTCTCTCTCTGTGCTTGTGTGTGTGTGTGCGTACGCTTACTCAACCTCCATTTCACCTGCAAAAGGTGTATGGGTGAGAGAACACTGCTCTTCAAAGAGGCCCTGCACAATAGCCCACACTGTCATTGACCTTCCCCCCACCAGCCCATGTAACTGTATTAATGGCATGCAGACATTGCTCACACATACATTCACAACCATGGTTTTGCTCACTGCCATTTAACATTGTTCAAACCTGATCCAGCTTCCTCTTCAGAGTAGAGACCTCTCTTGGGTTGGAGAAGGTGATGTCCAGCCCAGGGGAGAGGGCGTAAATGAAATCTATGTCGTGCTCCTTGGCAGCAGTGATGAGGGCCGTGAGTTGCTCTGAATTGCATGAAAAGAGCGGGAAAAAATATCAATCGGCCACTGTCAGTTATTAAGGTCATTGTCTAGTATGACCAATGTCCAGCTGTGTAAATGGAAGACAGTCCTGGCATTATGATTGTGACATCACTATGACATCACTTCTCACCTGCTTCTTCAGGGGAGTACATCTCCCTCCAAAACATTCTGTGTTTGTAGTCATCTTTTGGAGCATACAAATAGGTATTCAATCCCCATTTCTGTTGCCTAAGGAAATATTTTTGTAAACAACTTCATTTAAATCTGAGAGCAGCTGATACACAATTAGGTTGGCATCTTTATTATTTTTTTATTAGAACTGCATATAAATTGAAATGAATAAAATACATGCAACTACTGTTTACCTCATTGGAAATCTATTTTTAAGTTTACTGTGATTCAATACTAATACCAGTTCACTTTATCAAATATTAAGTGACAGCATATGGCAACAACCGTCAGTCCTGTGACACAACATCCAAGAAGGATTTCCTTACTTCCGGAAAAGCTCCTTCCTTTGCTCCATGGTCCAAGGTCGCCCATAGAAACCTGCATCAAACAAAGTAATTATCAATAATCCCTCACACCCATACCCTCTCTCTCTCTCACACACACAGTACTGCTACAGCTGCTGACGTGGCTGGCTTCTTTCTCCCATTCCTAGTTTATTGCTGCGGTTAAAAAACTGTTTGCCTGTACACTGGTGCACAGACACGCAAACACAGACACACACAGATATTACTAGAACTACAAAAGTAGTGGCTTACCTCGCTAACTCCTGCATAGACACAGACATGTAGTTTACTAGATTAGTGTTATTTAAAACTGGGATTGTCCGCTTGCATATTACACGAAAATAAATTTGGAGCGGCTTGCTCACCCTCGACCACGCCGCTGATGAACGTCTTACGGCCGGTGGTCGTTCCGTTGCTGCCGGCAGCCTCTGGGCCGGAGGGGGGTTTCTGCTCGCCCTTCTTGGAGTCCATCGTTTTAACAATCGGATACTAGTCAGCACACTGCAAGCCTAGGAACTGTCTTCCTGCTTAACGTAGTAGGTTTGTATACAAAATAAAACAACAAGTTCTCTTATCTCGCTAAACACCAGGGCATGACCTAACGTTAGGACAATTTAGCCTATGCTATACAAGTGTAATGAATAACACGCCCCGAGACGAGAGGTTATCTTAACATCCAGACTAGTTAGCCTGCAACAATCCCGATGTCTGTGAGGATATGCACCAGCCTACTGCACACACCCGCGTTATAACTCAGGGTAACATCTTCCATTTAACTTCCTTATGGCTCTTCCTGTTTACATCAACTGCGCAGACGCAGAAAACCAGATAAAACCAGCCAGCCAGTGATGAACGGACTGGCCCGTTTTTATAAACGTGTAATTTCAATAACCGATGATGAGGCAAGCCTTAAAAACCATTGTGTTATGATAGTAGTAAACGTAATATCAGTTTTCATGTTCTAGTTTAGTGTTATGACCGCGTTTTTGTACGTGTGCTGTGCTAGGATTATATGCGTGTGCACGTAAGGGGAGGGCGAGCTTAAAGGCGCACCAATTTAAAAAGATAAAACTGATAAGATTTACCATACCATGTCATAAATATGTAGATAGCATACTAACCTCTCCACTATATGAGATTATTTTTATTATGCACTTACATCAAACATAGTCCATCCTATGATACATCCTACGATACTAAGATACAAAGTCAACATGTCTCGAAGCTATTTTCATATTTATGCTTCGGAGCAAAAACGAATGCCTCGGAAACAAACTGCCTTTATTTCAGTAATTTGAACCCTGACACTTTGAATAATAATGATAATATAAAACCACGTTGCTGCGGTCTTTAAAGGAATATACTGTATAGCCTTAAGTATTTACACAAAAATATAGGCCTACTGCTCATCTTGATGTATGGAGAATTGTAACATGTCATAATACTTACTAGAAGCAACTTCATCTTCAAACAAGAAGCAAAATAAAAACCTATTTACACATTTTGCCATCTAGTGATGAAGGTGTTGTCCTTCCCTAAAGGGAGCTGCTCACTCTAGGGTGAGGCACACAACCCTATCTGCCTTTTCAGTGAAAAACATTTCTTCAAATGGAAAAATGCACTCATCAGTTGCATCGCTATTTAATTGTTTGGCTACTAACCTTTTAACTTAAATCGGTTACATTGCACCAACCCATTTAAACAAACGTTGACTGAAGTGATCTGGGTTTTGTACCTTGCAGTGCCCAGCGTATCTTTGCACCTTCAAACAGTTAGCCATACACCATGACTAAACATGAACCATGGCAAAAATGAAGTGCACATATGACAAAAGGAAACAAATGATTGTTTTCAGATTTTTTATTTAGGTTTTGCAATACATTTTCTGTTGCAATTTCCCCTTTCTTCCCAGCACGTGCAGGAAAGCTTCCATTCAGTTGTAGTTCAAGTTATTTTCCCATTTTTTCTCCATCTTAACACTTGGCAGGACACACTTGCATACCGTTTTGGAATGCAAGTGGTCAAATATTTAAATAATTTTTTTATTTACTTAAAAACTCTTCAATTGGATTTTTTAAACGTTTTTGAACTTTATTCCATTTTTTTGCTCTTTCGTTTTTTTCTTACAAATTTTCCACTTCAATAGAAGGTGTAAGCTTGTTAGAAAGAAACAAGGGGAGACCAAAAAAAACAAACAAAAAACAAAAGAAAACCCATGGTGAAAAGGCAGTGCCTGAAGATGTGAGCTGGTGTTCCAGCTCTG